TCTATCTTTATCCCATCAATCCCGGCTGCCTTACCCCCTTTCATTTTACCTACTGCCTCACGAACTTCCCCCACACTCACAACTGGCTCTTCCTCACTCCTACAAGTGTTATTCCTCCTTGCCCTATACACGAAATCACAGCTTCCCTATCTTCATCAACATTTAACAATTCCTCAAAATATTCCTTCCATCTTCCCAATACCTCTAACTCTCCATTTAATAACTCTCCTCTCCTATTTTTAACTGACAAATCCATTTGTTCTCTAGGCTTTCTTAACTTGTTAATCTCACTCCAAAACTTTTTCTTATTTCAACAAAATTTGTTGATAACATCTCACCCCACTCTCTCATTTGCTCTCTTTTTACATTGCTTCACCACTCTCTTAACCTCTCTCTTTTTCTCCATATACTCTTTCCCTCCTTGCTCACTTCTACTTTGTAAAAACTTCTCATATGCTAACTTTTTCTCCCTTACTACTCTCTTTACATCATCATTCCACCAATCGCTCCTCTTCCCTCCTGCACCCACTTTCCTGTAACCACAAACTTCTGCTGAACATCTAACACTACATTTTTAAACCTACCCCATACCTCTTCGACCCATTGCCTATGCTCTCATTAGCCCATCTATCCTCCAATAGCTGTTTATATCTTACCCTAACTGCCTCCTCTTTTAGTTTATAAACCTTCACCTCTCTCTTCCCTGATGCTTCTATTCTCCTTGTATCCCATCTACCTTTTACTCTCAGTGTAGCTACAACTAGAAAGTGATCTGATATATCTGTGGCCCCTCTATAAACATGTACATCCTGAAGTCTACTCAACAGTCTTTTATCTACCAATACATAATCCAACAAACTACTGTCATTTCGCCCTACATCATATCGTGTATACTTATTTATCCTCTTTTTCTTAAATATGTATTACCTATAACTAAACCCCTTTCTATACAAAGTTCAATCAAAGGGCTCCCATTATCATTTACACCTGGCACCCCAAACTTACCTACCCACACCCTCTCTAAAAATTTCTCCTACTTTAGCATTCAAGTCCCCTACCACAATTACTCTCTCACTTGGTTCAAAGGCTCCTATACATTCACTTAACATCTCCCAAAATCTCTCTCTCTCCTCTGCATTCCCTCTCTTCTCCAGGTGCATACACGCTTATTATGACCCACTTCTCGCATCCAACCTTTACTTTAATCCACATAATTCTTGAATTTACACATTCATATTCTCTTTTCTCCTTCCATAACTGATCATTTAACATTACTGCTACCCCTTCCTTTGCTCTAACTCTCTCAGATACTCCAGATTTAATCCCATTTATTTCCCCCCACTGAAACTCTCCTACCCCCTTCAGCTTTGTTTCGCTTAGGGCCAGGACATCCAACTTCTTTTCATTCATAACATCAGCAATCATCTGTTTCTTGTCATCCGCACTACATCCACGCACATTTAAGCAACCCAGTTTTATAAAGTTTTTCTTCTTCTCTTTTTTAGTAATTGTATACAGGAGAAGGGGTTACTAGCCCATTGCTCCCGGCATTTTAGTCGCCTCATACGACACGCATGGCTTACGGAGGAAAGATTCTTTTCCACTTCCCCATGGACAATAGAAGAAATAAAAAAGAACAAGAGCTATTTAGAAAAAGGAGAAAAACCTAGATGTATGTATATATATATATGCATGTGCGTGTCTGTGAAGTGTGACCAAAGTGTTAGTAGGAGTAGCAAGATATCCCTGTTATCTTAGCGTGTTTATGAGACAGAAAAAGAAACCAGCAATCCTACCATCATGCAAAACAATTACAGGTTTTTGTTTCACAGTCATCTGGCAGGACGGTAGTACTTCCCTGGGTGGTTGCTGTCTACCAACCTACCTACCTACATCATGTTTCTATGTTAATTATATTGTTTATTATGTCATAATAGATGAATTGTGATAGATAAATAAGCTGCAGACTTGATATTAACATCAAATTGAAGTGTTTTTGTCCTGCCTCCCAAGAGCAGGAATTCCACTAGAATGGATTAATGGCATTTCAATTAATGTAAGTGAGGAAAACTGACTCAACATACAAGCAGACTGGGATAGGAGCAAGGTCATATAATGGATTAAACTCGTAAGCCGAGGTTCCACTGTACATATATTAACCCTTTGACTGTCGCAAGCCCCTTTCTGAAACTGTTATTCTATGTCGCAAAAGTTTTGGGAAAAAAAAAATGATTTTTTCTTATGAAATGATAGAGAATCTTTTCCCAACGGAAATGACACCAAAAGATGAAATTTGGTTGAAAATTCATGGAATTACGCTCCCACAAAGCGGTCTCGGCGACATACACACATCGGCAATTTCGCCGACTTTGAGCCGTTTTTGGCCAATTCCGTTGTTCCAGCTGACCAAACTCATAGCTATTTCTTTAGAACTCCATTTTTTCTATCAGTTGAGTACAAGAAACTGCCCATTTACTTATTTGAACTACCCAATAAAGTGGTCAGAAATTGGCAATTTGGCCAATTTCACGCAAATTAAAAAAGATGCCAATTTTAAAATAGAGTCCAGAATAAACAATGTAGACATTCTTGGCACTAAAATAACATATCCTCTGTTCATTAGTCATGTCTCTAGGCCCCTCATATATTACTATTGCTTTCTATTGATTTTTTATTCATACAAAAAAATACAAAATTTACTGTTATGCAGACTACTGCATTATTGTAAAAATGGTATAAATAATATCAGTGCACTAGTGAAAGAATATTAGACTCCCCAGTTGGCGTGTATTGGACGTGTGGTGTAATTTGCTTACTCCTGAACACTGGTAAAAATCGAACATTTCCGCTACTTTGAGCTCAATTTCAAGGTCGTTTTCATGGTGAAAGTAATCAAAATCATCTCTATTTCTGTAATATTTTTACATTTTATCACCTGAGACCATGAAAATGAGAATACAACGATAAATACTATATGAAAATACACCTCAAAGTCAGCGTTTTAATCCAAAAAACGGTCAGCTTTTTTTTCTCATTATGCACTGCGTGCTGCAGGATTTTTTTTATGTGGTGCACGCTGACCACACAGACCCATTCTCTCACATGTGGGCCTACCAGCTTTCTCCTGCTTGATTTGAAGCCGCTAGAATTTACACGTATAATTACGTCAGAAACAGTGGCGCGCAAGACGTATATATACGACATAAACAGTCAAAGGGTTAAAAAGAATAAGAATCAGTAAAACCAGCATGTTTCCTTGATATGTTTGATAGGGGTACCATTTGCTCTCTGATCACTGCATACTGTATTGTGTTTGAACATAGTGTTTTCTGATACAGCGGTACCTTGACTTACGAGTTTAATTCGTTCCGTGACCCAGCTCGTAACTCAATTTGCTCGTATATCAAATCAATTTTCCTCACTGAAATTAAATGAAATGCTGTTAATCCATTCCAGTGGAATTCCTGGCACTCGGGAGGCAGAAGAAAATACTTCAATATAATGCTAATATCAACTCTACGGCTTATTTATCTATCACAATTGATCTAATATGACATAATAAACAATATAAATAACATAGAAAGATAATACAGTGGTACCCTGAGTTTCAGCCATAATTCGTTCCAGAAGGCTGTTCGAGTGCCGGTACTGAACGAATTTGTTCCCATAAGGAATAATGTAAATTAGATTAGTCCGTTTCAGACTCCCAAAAATACACTTACAAAAGCACTTACAATAATACACTTACATAATTGTTCGAATTGGGGGCTGTACGAAACTCAGGGTACCACTGTATATACTCTAGAATGAATAAAATATGTCATTATGCGACGAGTCATGGCAGCCCCACCTGAGGTAAAAATAATTATCGCTCTGACCATATCTTCCCATTCTTGCCCTTCTGAGGTCTTATTATAAGAGAAAATGGAGTGTTTGTGAGGCTAACTGCACTAGATCACTAATTTCACAAGAAGGCCTTGTGCCTTCTCTGTGAGAAGGCACAAGGCACTAAGTACATACTACGCTTGTACTGCCTCACCAAGTCAACTACACGCACATCTTGCTCGTGTTTTTCTATGATTTCATGTTTTAATTCAATGGACATCATCCTCTTCTTCTCAGCACTGTCCTTTGCACTTACTTTCTTAGAACCCATGGTTAGCAAAAAAAAAAAAAAATTTGGCAAAATAACTGCACAAAACACAAGGATAACACAAGAGAGATGCTTCTATGGCGAGGTAACCACATGCACTGTTGTGGCATTCGCTGCGCCAACTAGTGGTGGTGTATCTGAAGCTCACTTGTAACTTAGACTTTGGCTCACAATTCAAAGCAAAAAATTGACTGAGCGACGGCTCGTAACTCAGAAAACTCGTAAGTTGGGGCACTCATAAGTCAAGGTACAACTGTATTTGCCTTTCTTAAGCACAACCAGACAACTTCATTGATACATAATGCATAGAAGAAAATTATTTAAAATCTGCTTAGTAGAATCAGAAAGTGTACAGAAATCAAAGTAATAAACCTAAGATAATGAATAAACGCAATTCTACACATCTGTGTAAAACGAAAAAGTTATTTATGGCTTGAAGTAAATCAAATGTAAAACAAAAAAACAGCAAAAAAAATATTTTACTGTATAGAAACTAAAATACCTGATAATATAAGCATTGCTAATACATTCAGGTAAACCAAGGCAAGGGATGAAAAATTAATTCCATAAAGTCCTCAAAAAAGTGTACTGCAGTTCAATGGAGAAGTGGAATTTAAACTCATGAACTGAAATTACCAGCACTTGGTTAGCCAGTGGTCCAGTGGCTAACACACTGAACTGGTAATTCCAGAATGCAAGTTTAATTCCCCTAGCTTCAGTAAATTGTTAACTCATCCTGGCAAATCAATTTTAAATAAAAGCCCTCAACCTTCACTCAGAAAAAAATTAATTTGACCATAAAAAAATAAAAATAACAGTAACATTGAGCCTGTTGACCCCAGTTTACCTCAGAAGCCAGACTATGGTACTTCTGTTTCTCCTCAGGACCCAGAGCATACCACCATTCACCCAAAATTTTGGAAACTGTTCTGTTGTCTTGATTGGGATATCGCTGGTGTACTAATGGTCGATGTCGTTTGCTAAAGATCATAAAGGCATTCATTGGTCGTCTAATGTGCTCCTTTTCTCCTTTCCCCTGCAAAATATATGTGCAAAATTATTTAAAGGTACTATATTTAAAAATGCAGACTTATGTTTCAGGACCAACAGACAGGATGGGAAACTAAAGATCTTTTAAGACACAAGGTGGGAAACTAAAGAAGTTTTAAGGTACCAGAGTGAAAGAGTGTAATGATCCACTTGATACTTTTAATATATGTACTGTATTTTACTTACAAACACTTTTTTTAAGTGCAAGGGGATTTAGGAAGCAAAAACCATATGATGGAAAGATAAGGTTCTTTTAGAGTACCAAATAGAGCAAAAATGGTAACTCTCCACCTGTTACTTGTAATATACTGTATTTTATTTACTATTACTCTTTTGTTAAGTACAAAGGGAATTTTGGAAGCAAAAGGCATATTCAACAAAATCAAACCCTCATAATTATCCCATTTTCTACTTTCATAGGCTGGGGTTAAATTTTCAAAAAGATATAAAAATAATTCAAGAGAGAAGGTTGCAGAAATTTAGATGCCCACACATTCACACTTCTTTCCAAGCCTAAGTACATAAAAAATTAACTTGTAATCTGAAAAAAGGAGATATGCAATTGGACTTCATTATATGCATATGGAATGGGAGGTAACCGAGTATACATGTATTTTTTTCTGGCAAAGATTATTATATTTTGGTGACAATAGTTACAATGCTTGTTTTCTTAATTTTTACTGGAATCTGACAACTTCTGCAAGTAATCTACATACAAGTACAGGTTTCTCTTGTTTTATGCAGATTCGTTTTATGCAAATTAACTATTATAGTATGTGATACTTTATTTTTACTGGTACAGTAAAACCTCATTAACAGACCCTTCATTAATGATGGAAGTATCAAACAAAATTGAAAAAAAGTCCATAATTCCTAATTAAGCAGAAACTTAAACTAATAAAGAAGGTCGAGTCTGGCATCTCAGCCATCTACATCTTCTCGGCCTCCTGCATTATTTTCATTAGTCAGAGCTTTACAGCTCCTCTGACTTAGAATAAAAGTTATTCTGAGTGACCACTATTGTTCAAGGCAGTTTACACCTCATCTTTCCACCATGAAAGATAAGTAAAATTACTGTAAATTTTGTACATTACTATAGAATTACTATAAAGTACAGTACTGTACTGCATATTACAATGTACTCATATTCCTAAGTGTCAGGTTGTCTTCTGAACCAACAAACCAAGTCTGATGGTTCAGAAGACAACTAGACAATCATGAAAAATTACTTTCCTAACCCAAATGTGACACACATACATGGAAGTACACCAAGGACTGTTATTATGTGGAATTAAAGAGTTTTGGCTTCACTGAGCTTAGCACAACTGCCATAGGACTGGACCAAGTCTACAGCATAAAACGAGGGGTCACAACTGTACTGTACTGTGCATTTTTTTTTTTTTAACAAGTCGGCCGTCTCCCACCGAGGCAGGGTGACCCAAAAAGAAAGAAAATCCCCAAAAAGAAAATACTTTCATCATCATTCAACACTTTCACCTCACTCGCACATAATCACCGTTTTTGCAGAGTTGCCCAGAATACAACAGTTTAGAAGTATTTTTATTATTATTATTATTATTATCACACTGGCCGATTCCCACCAAGGCAGGGTGGCCCGAAAAAGAAAAACTTTCACCATCATTCACTCCATCACTGTCTTGCCAGAAGGGTGCTTTACACTACAGTTTTTAAACTGCAACATTAACACCCCTCCTTCAGAGTGCAGGCACTGTACTTCCCATCTCCAGGACTCAAGTCCGGCCTGCCGGTTTCCCTGAACCCCTTCATAAATGTTACTTTGCTCACACTCCAACAGCACGTCAAGTATTAAAAACCATTTGTCTCCATTCACTCCTATCAAACACGCTCACGCATGCCTGCTGGAAGTCCAAGCCCCTCGCACACAAAACCTCCTTTACCCCCTCTCTCCAACCTTTCCTAGGCCGACCCCTACCCCGCCTTCCTTCCACTACAGACTGATACACTCTTGAAGTCATTCTGTTTCGCTCCATTCTCTCTACATGTCCGAACCACCTCAACAACCCTTCCTCAGCCTCTGGACAACAGTTTTGGTAATCCCGCACCTCCTCCTAACTTCCAAACTACGAATTCTCTGCATTATATTCACACCACACATTGCCCTCAGACATGACATCTCCACTGCCTCCAGCCTTCTCCTCGCTGCAACATTCATCACCCATGCTTCACACCCATATAAGAGCGTTGGTAAAACTATACTCTCATACATTCCCCTCTTTGCCTCCAAGGACAAAGTTCTTTGTCTCCACAGACTCCTAAGTGCACCACTCACTTTTCCCTTCATCAAAATACACAATATATCCCTCCAAACTGCCAATAACCCAAACCCCTCCTTTAGAGTGCAGGCATTGTACTTCCCATCTGACCCATATTTAACCCTTAAACTGTCCAAACATAGATCTACATTCACATGCGTAGCGCTCCGACCTTGACTTTCCCATTTGAAAGAATGTAAAAAAAAAAAAACGTAGATCTACGTTCGGAGCCTGCCGCACGTCAACGTATATCTACATTTGGACAGTTTAAGGGTTAAACAGAAGTATAACTGTTATTGGTATATTTATAGTAAAAATTATTTTAATGTGGAATATGTCATAAGTTAAATTATCATCTAAGGTTGGTTGGTTTCCTCCCTCCCAGCCATCTCCCACTGAGATAGGGTGACCCAAAAATGAAGAAACACTTTTGCCTTCATTCACTCAATCACTGGCTTGCAAGAGGCATGCAGATACCACAGTTTAGATGCCCCTAACTGTAAATAGCCTTACCCCTCCCTCAGAGTGCATGCACTGTACTTCCCACCTCCAGGAGTCAAGTCTGGCTAACCACTTTCCCTGTATCCCTTCACAAAATGTTACATTGGTCATACTCCAAGAGCTCATCAAGTCTCAAAAAAACATAAGAATATAAGAAAAGAGGAACACTGTAGCAGGCCTGTTGGCCCATACTAGGCAGGTCCTTTACAATCCATCCTGCTAACAAAACATTTGCCCAACCCAATTTTCAATGCTACCCAAGAAATAAGGTCTGATAACTCTATCCACTAATATATGCATGTCCCGCTCAAATCCAACTCCTCTTGGTCATGTATTTATCCAACCTAAATTTGAAACTACCCAAGGTTTTAGCCTCAATAACCCAACTAGGTAGACTGTTCCACTCATCAACTACCCTATTTCCAAACCAATACTTTCCTATATCCTTTCTAAATCTAAACTTGTCCAATTTGAATCCATTATTGCATCTTCTCTCTTGGAGAGATATCCTCAAGACCTTATTTATATCCACTTTGTTAATACCCATCTTCCACTCGTACACTTCGATCATGTCTCCCCTCATTCTTCGTCTATTCAAGAAGCTCACACGTGCCTGCTGAATGTTCAAATCCCTCGCACACAAAACCTCCTTTACTTCCTCCCCCCAACATTTACCGGGGTGACCCCTGCCCCGCCTTCCCTCCACTACAGATTTATACACTCTCAAAATCATCCTATTCTGCTTTATTATCACTAAAATGTCCAAACCACCTCAACAACCCCTCCTCAGCCCTCTGGATAATACTTTTAGTAATCCCACACCTCCTCTTAATCTTCAGGCTACAAATTCTCTGCATATTATTTACACCACACATTGCTCTTAGATCCAGTCTCCTTGCTGTAACATTCACAACCCATGCTTCACACCCATACAAGTGTGTTAGTACCACTATACTCTTGTACATTCTCCTTTTTGTCTGCATGGATAACTTTGTCTTCATAGATGCCTCAATGCACCACCCGCATTTTTCCCATCATCAGTTCTACCATGGTTCACCTTGTCTTTCATCGATCCATCTGCCAACATGCCCACTCCCACATATCTGAAGACATTCACTTCTTCCATATTTTCATCTTACAATCTGATATTCAATTTTACATTACTTAAATTGTTCGTTACCTTTATCACCTTCCTCTTTCTAATGTTCAGATTTATTTTAATTACCTTAAGAACATAAGAACATAAGAAAGGAGGAACACTGCAGCAGGCCTGTTGGCCCATACTAGGCAGGTCCTTTACAATTCATCCCACTAACAAACATTTGACCAACCCAATACTCTCTCAAATTCATCCACCACCCTTTACAACTTCTCTTTCAGAATCTCCCAAAAGCACAGTGTTATCAGCAAAAAGCATATGTAACAACTCCCACTTTGTATTAGATTCTGCATATTTTAAACACACACACACACCTTCCCTAACACCCCAGTATTCACTTCTTTTACAACCCTATCTATAAATATGTTAAACAACTGTGATAACATCACACATTCCTGTTTAAGGCCAACTTTTACTGGAAAATATCTCCCTCTCTCTCCTACATACCCAAATGTGCGCTTCACCATCCTCATAAAAACTCAAAACTGCTTTTCATTAATCTACCACCTATTCATTACACTTGTAGCATCTGCCACATTGCTCCCCTACCATAAACCCTTCCTAAATCCACAAAGACAACAAAAACTTCCTTACCTTTATTTAAATACTGTTCACTTATATGCTTCAATGTAAACACTTGGTCTACACATCTAAAACCTCCTTGTTCATAATTTTTTTTAATAACTACTATACACATTACCTGGTATACTCAACAGGCTAATTCCCCTATAATTTTTACTCTCTTTTGGCTTCCTTTCCCTTACACAAAGGAAATAAGCACACACACACACACTGACAATCCCTAGGTTTTTTCTCCTCTTTCATACATTTACTGAACAAAAGTACTAACCACTCCAAAACTATGTCATCACCTGATTTTGACATTTTTGTTTCGATCCCATCAATCCCAGCTACTTTACTCCTTTAGTTTACCCACAGCCTCATGTACCTCTAACACACTCACATCTTGCTCTTCACTCCTAAAAGATGTTATACCTCCCTGACCAATACATGAAATCAGTGCCTCCCTTT